CGGCTGCTACTCTGAAACCTAAAGGTAAATGGAACTTCTGATAAACATAATCAGATGTTCTCACAAATGATCCATTCAGACTTCCATAGCAATTGAAAGTCTACGCCACACATTCAGAGCTGGATTGTTTGTCTAACCCATCCTTTATCATCTCTATGGGTCAAAGATCTGTTTATGGTGAACAGTAATGTACAGACAGTGACTATGTTACGCTGTATTCAACACACACACAACATCATTAAAATCACCTAGTGCAGAGGGTAATAAACCCAGCATACAGAAGGAAAGTAAATCAAGTCTCCAACCAAAGCCTTGTCCGTTTAAGTATGGCTGCACATAAGGTGAAGCTAATCCACTGTGCTGAACATCTTGTGTTCACTCCCACCAGCCTCCGGACAGATCAGGGGTTTGATCATGCACCATTTCTCAGGCAACTCATCCTTGCACACAGGAGCCATTCTATTGAAGTCAAAGGATAAATGTCCTTAATACAAAAATAGCATTATTACTCACAAATGCTTAACATGTCAGTGACACAAATAACTCAACCAATGGAGAGCAACATAAGGAAGGCCCTTCGACCAGCCACATCTCTTAAAACTTGACGGCTGGCAGGCAACTAGTAAGTGTAGATTCATTGTCGGTGCATGTCTCCAACCATTTTGGAGTATCTGTCTTTCAAGAAATTGTAGGCTGCTTGAAATAAAGGTCTTGAGCATGTCCTCTTCCTGTTGTGAGACTAAGGGCTAGATCAACCAAGGGATTTACATGCCTAACTGCCACCTTAGGCACCTAACTCCAAAATTTAGATCCTCAAAACCCCACATAGCCCTATAGGCACCAAAATTTCTGCCCATAGGCATGTGCAAAGCCACCTAACTCCTGACACCTCCAAGCAGCTCCGCGCCTAACTCTTGCCTGAGCCCCAGTGGCCTTCTCAAATGAGGTGTTACCCCACACTTAGATGGCGGTGGTAGTCTCTCTCTCCCTGTTTCTCCTCTTGAAGCTGTTCCACTTTGTATGAAAAGCTTAAATATTCAGTGTGCCACTGAGAGAATGATAACGACTATGTAAGCCTAGCTGTTAGGGCATTCACCTGGGAGATCCATGTTCAAGTCCCTGCTCCAGCGAATATCTAAATAATTTATAATTTAGATGAGCTTCAACAGGAGATCTTAAGAGAGCCACACCCCAGCCTATCACATAGCTCAGTGGTTAGGGCCACAGGCGCCAACTTTTGTTGGCGCCGGTGGGTGGTTGCGCCCCCCTGCCCCCAGTCCAGCCCCGACTCCACCTCCTCCCTGCCACTATTGGACCCCTCCCCAAATCCCTGCCCTGGCCCCACCTCTTCCCCGAGCGTGCCATGTTCCTCCTACTCCCAGCACTTGCTGCGCGAAACAGCTGGCATGAAACACGTGGGAGAAGCCAGACAATCACGATGCTCTCAAATAAACTCACACAGGAAAATGATAAAATCAAAAATATCACATCACCTGTAGGTGAACACTTTTCACAAAGCAATCACTCTATATCTGACCTATCAGTCCTCATCCTCAAAGGAAACCTGCACAACACTTTCAAGAGACAAGCATGGGAGTTTAAATTCATAACTTTGCTAGAAACTAAATATCATGGACTGAATACAGACACTGGATTTATGGCTTATTACAACAATCCATAACCCACTAACCCGCCCCAAACTACTCCCTCCCTATGACTGGAGAGGTGTTAACGGGCCACTTCACCTTGAAATATGTCCTAACTATTTATGCTCAACAATCTATTCCATCTTGTGTTTAGCTGTGACATTCTGAGTAAGGGCTTGTCTACACTTAAAATGCTGCGCCAATGCATCTCTGTGCCACTACAGCACTTCAAGAAAGACACTATCTGTGCCAACAGGAGGGCTTTTTCTGTCGGCATAGGTAATCTACCTCCCCAAGAGGCAATAACTATGTCACTCTCCCATCAACATAGTGCTGTCTACACCAGGATTTAGGTCAGCATAACTGCGTCGCTCAGCAGTGTGGAAAATCCATACTGTCTGGAAATCAAGACTAATAGCAGACAGGTACAAAACCAAGCACTGTACTCTGTATCTTTATATAGAGTCACATGGGATGGGAAAAAGTGTAGACAAGTGGTTCATTATACATATTGCAGCTGAGGAGCAATGAGCATATTTAAAACAATCAAGTCAAGCACCACATGCAGAACAATCCTACAGCAAAGTAAAAGGTGGCCTCAGATTAAATCTAGAGGACTTTTTTTTTAAAAAATTGGGCATGTATTAGCATAAAATTCTACATGAAAGTATTGTAATTCTGCATACAATTCAGTGTGTGATTTCCATCATTTGCTGGTTTGGATGAATATTTTATATACCTAACACTTACATCTTCAAAACTGTAAATGAAACTTCACCAAGCTATTGTCAAAAAGAAACCTAGTGAAAATCTTAATTTGGGTGTATTTCTTGCAAGATAAATGTTAGACATGTTAAATATGAACAACAACGCACCTGGATTATGCACTTTTAGTCAAAACTTGAGCAGGCTCCAAGTATTTGATGCAGATCTATTATTTTGTAGTCATGCAAGTGGCAATGTATTGTATCCATGACAATACAATACTGGACTGGATAAGTAACATTACATATATTTCTCAAGCCATCTTTTCCTAAAACTGATCACAACTCATGTGAAAAGAAACAAATCCAAAAACACTTGGCACACATCCCTAATCTCATTTGAAATATTCTGCTAGACAGCCATGAAATGGTGTTTACTGGAGAGACTAATAAGTCCTTGTATTTATGTAACACTAGTTAAAGAGGTTCTTATACTTGTGACGGGGAAGATGGAAAGTATATTATGCTATGGACACTGCATAAAAAAATGTCAGAAGGCAGGTGAAAAGTAACTTCTGAAAAGGGAATTTGAGGGAGGCAGCATGTAATTTGCAGGTGGGAATTTGGCCAGGGCATCGGATTTTTCAATTCCTTCCGAAAAGCTCCATAACCATGTAGTCTATAATGACCAATGGTCAGCACCTTGGTGTTGTACATCATACAAAATAAAAAGGTATGTTAAAGAAAGTAGCTCTCTTACCTTCCAGTCTTGCTGATGTAAAGAAAACAAGGCAAATACAAAATAAAACCACAGTGAGCGCAATTCTACAGCTGTTCATTGTGCTTCTAGACCCACACTTATCCCCCCCTTGCCTGGGAAAACACACTATCTACTGTCCACACTGCTTATCTGAAAGTGCAAAGTTCACTTCAAAGATCAATCTTTTTGCCAATCATAATGCAACAGGCACTAATCATTAATAGCTAGCTAGCTATTGTAAAGAAGTCTTAAGTTTCTTGACCCATTCCTTCTGATAAATAAAATTGACACCCCCTCTCCTCCCAGCTTGTTTGCTTTACAGTAGACTCTTCTGCCCAGAAACATAGAGGCTCATTGATAAAGAGTTTTCTGGGAGAACCTTCATCCTGATCTAGTCATTCATTCTGCTAAGGTGGCAAGAGTCATAGTGACCAAATATACCTTGCACCCAGGAGGATTGGACCATCACTTTTCCAGAGACTGAAGTTATAGCCGCCCCTCATGCACTGGCTGATAGGAATAATAGAAGTTACTGCTGAAAACTCACCCAGTTCCAGTTGGGAATTGGGTTTTGGAAGACAGCAATACTGTAGGTCTATTGGCTCCTCAAGCTACTGGTCCTCCACTAGAAACCAAATGCAAGATTCAAATTGAATCTACTGGAATTTCTATTAAAAGTCAGTTCCATCTGTAATTGCTCTTCATCCCCTCTGGAATTATGTTTCTGGGCTTCTCTTGTGTGGCTGCGAGATGCGAAGCAACAGGATAAGAGTGGCAGCAGCTGAAACTGAGACAGAGAGGGTTTGAAGACAAAAGACTGGAATGCTTTGACCAAAGTAAGTTACATATTTCCAAAGGGAACCTACTGTCTCACAAAAGCATATGCCTCCCAGCTTCTCCCTTCCCTAGCTGGTTGTGCCCATTGAACTCAATGGTATATGCCCAGGTGTAACTGAGGGCAAAATTCAGCCCCTGAAGTTTGGAGATATTTGGATTCAGGGCTTTGGTTTAGTCCTACCTCTATTTACTAGAGCTATAGCCCCATATATTTGGGCTATTCTCTCAAGCAAGCTCATCTCCCCTCCAGAATACTGCGAGATTTAACTAGGCCCCAAGCCTACGTTTGGCACATAACAAAAGGAACTGATGCTTTCTGATACCTGGCTTAAAAGTGCAGTAGGAGTCCTAGGTATTATTGTAGCTATGAGCTCTGTTGCTCTCACCCCCCGTATGACAATGTGTTGCTTCCCGCAACAACGCTGCAGGCTGAAAAGCAGCAGTAGCAATTCAGCAGAGCTATTCCTCCTACATCAGTGATTAAAGGAAGAGACTTGTATGTTTACATGAAACAGATATCAGATCTTGTTCCTGCCAGATCCTGGGTCACTTATGAGAAGCGCCCGTAACCAGCACTGCAGCCAGACCCAACAAGAGCTTGGTTGTTATGATGACCGGCAAACAGGTTTTCACCTGCCAGTGCACATTGTTCCAAGAAGAGGGCATTTCTAGCACTAAAGACAAAGGGTGCATGCTGAAGGCTGCAGCTACTAGGGTTAGTTTCTGAGGCATACATCTGCTTCACTTGTCAGGCAACAAAACAATTTTTTATCATCCTTCAGTAGGGTGGTTATGATTCTTCCAAGGATGTTAGACAACAACTTCCTTTATTGCCTATTAATTCATAAATGCAATTCTGAACAGGATGAGAGACATTAAGGAAATCAGTGTCAAGACAGCAAGGAACTCACTCAACACAAAAATACCCCATGTAAAATCCTGTCAACTGGAACAGTCTGGAACAGTCTAGTTTAACAATGGACTGCCCCCTCTAGGAGTCTATCCAAAGATGAAGAGAACAAAAATGGATGAATTGCACAAACTATTTAATCTTTAAAACTAAACATGCTGCAGTGGTGGGGGCAATGGGCATTGGCACTAGCCTGACACCAGAGTTTATGTTCCGATATAGATCAAGTGTAGACTCAGCCTAATCCCTCTGTTTATGCACCCAACAGAACTACCAGCCAACTGGGACAGCCGAGTGATATCTAGTGTCTTCTCTAGAGAGACTCTAGAGCCACATAAAAAAGTAGGTCAGAACTGACAAAGCTGGGACCAAGACTGGCACAGCACCCACCTGCACTATGCCTCATTGCTATATTAGTTTCATTTTAATGTGCACTAGTCTCAAAATTTTACAAAGCAAACATCCCATAGGATACCACTAGGTGTCACTATGAACCAGAGTGGTTTTGATATTTCAGAAGCTGAATTAATTCCTTCTTTTGATTCTAGCTGATCTTTTTGTTTCTGTTCTGTTTCCAGTATGCACTGTACATAATAGAAAATCTGTTCAGCTGTTTGCTTTTGCTACTTAGCCAAATGATCAATGCAATTCTTTTATGCGTACATATCCATGGAACTTTGATATTGCTCACGTCAAAGAATTTTCCCCTCAATTTCAATCCCATTTAATTTTTAAAGTTAAAGACACATTTTTCAGTCAAGCCATTTCAAAGTTTGCAATATGCAAACTCTGTCTTAGACAAGTCGCCAAACACTTGTACTTAAAATCAGAATGACTCCTCCCCCCAACTCCATCATGATGCATCTTCTCGTGCTTTTCCTGGGCGAGGTGAGCCATACATTCACAGTGGGCACTGTGCTAGCAGGATGATTAAAGGACAAAATGAAGGTCCAAGCCACCCAGCTCCCATTAAGATAAATGAAAAAGACTCCCAGTTACTGCTGGGAGCTGTATAAGGCACTTAAGATTCACTCCTAGAAATCCAGTTTGTCTAGGATGTCAATAAGAAACCAGATTAGTAAAAGCAGGTTCTCAATAAACAGCCTTATTTCTTCAGGCTTTCGAGTGGGTCGGCTACCATGGGACTGCAGACCCGGGCCAAAAAGAGAGCTCCAAAGTGGGTCAGTTGTTGTCATGGGGTCATATGAACAACACTATCCAAAGCCTAATGTTCTTACAGACTAATGAAATTACCTCATTGACCAATGATCAGGCATTTTGGAGACCATTTTAATCCCCAGATTCCCAATTTAATTCCTTGCTAGAATGGATTCCTCACACATAGAGATAACCTTTCATCTGATTATTACTTACTTGGGACCATGTGACAACTTTCCGTGAAGAAAAACATTTAAGGAGCTAAATATGAAGAAAATCCACAAGATACAGTAAGTCATTCATAGTAAATGGCAGCATAACATCTGTTCCATGAGAAAACCAAGATGTGGCAAATTACAGGGGTTGTGGCTATGGGAGCGACATAATCCACAGATGACTTGTTTGGGGACACTCTGTAACACCATGCTCCTTAACAGGGGCTTACAGGGTCAAGATGGGCATAAAGATGCAGAGAACATTTCTGAGCCCTGCAATCTGAAATTGCTGTGAGTGTCGGGCCTCACATCAAACACTCTTTTCCCACTTATTTCCCACCCAAGTCTATTAAGAGCTTGATAGCATACATCAAGGTGTGTAAGGCTGATAAGGTAATGGCAAGTTCAGGGCTGGCCTTACCATGAGGCGAACTCTACCCAGAGTGTAGAAAATTGTGTCTGCTGCTGGTGCATATGTATTCTCTCTGCTCTAGATACACAGAGATGGTGGAGTGCTGTGCTGGAGGAAGGAGGGCACAAGAGACATAACAGGCAGGCAGGAGAAAAGGTGAGAGGGAATAACAGAAAGCAGCAGGATTTGCAGGGAGAGAGAGGAGGAGGAGCCTCTTATGTACCTCCCTAGCACCCCCAGGAGCCTGGACTGATTAACACCAGCTTCTCGGGGAGCTTCCTGTTTCCTGCTGCTTCCCTGAACCCACTGGAGGAGAACAGGCAGTCAACTGAAGTAGTAGGAGCCAGTTAGGCCCTTAAGACGCTGATATCTTCCCTCACTCAGGCCCTGCTATCAGCCTGCTTATTTGTCCCCTTCAATTGAATGTTGAAAGCCACTATAGCTGGCACAGAACAGCAGTCATGAGTGAAAGAAGAAAACGCCCCTCTGGGGCAGCATTCAGAAAAAGAAAGAAAGCAAAGGAAGCTTTCCTGTCTAAACAGGAAGGAGCTCTCCTGAGATACATAGACACACATGTTCACGATGAGCCTTCCGGCCACAGTGAGGATATGAGTGGTGAGGAGATGCCTGATCTTCCAGTTAGTCAGAGTGCAGGTGACCTAGCAGCTACTGCAGCATCCATAACTCCATCTCAAATGGATGTAACCATGCACATTCCTGAAGAAAAGTGTAGATCAGAGAAGAGAGTGGTGGAGACACAAGAAACAGCTGTTGCTGAGTTTAGTTCCTTAAGTCTAGATGATCCAGGACTGTGGACCCACTTGAGCAGTAGCCTGAGGGACTTCCTTGTACTGCATGGGCCACAGCAAGTGAAAAACTTCATGTTCCCCAAAGACAATGAAAATAGAAGTTTCCATCGAACACATTCCTGGCGTGAAATGTCCAATGGTAACAAAGTGGAGAGGCCATGGCTTATGTACTCAAAACCCCAGAATGCTGCATACTGTTTTTGTTGCAAACTGTTTGAAATAAATGTTGAAAGCAAGAGACTCCAAGGTGTTGACCTTGATATATCTGGAGCAGTGGAACAACTGGACAAAGCAAAGTCATACCTACAGTCTTACCAGTCAGATGAGGGATTTCAAAACGTTCTGAAGTGTGCACAGAAGTTGGCAGAGGAACTTCACACTGAAGCTATTTTTCCACCCATTCAAGAATACAAGAGTCACTGAAGAAGAAGACATTTTGATTACGAGGCACAAGATAATCCCATAAGAGACCCCAAACAACAATTCAAAGTTGAATTCTTTAACCAGGTGCTAGATTGTGCAATACAGTGAGTTGAAGAACGTTTCATGCAGCTCAAGGAACACAGCAGTATATTTGGGATGTTGTATGATATTCCAAAACTCCTCACTATACCTGAAGAAGACCTACACCAGCAATTCAGGGCACTAGAGACAGTGTTGACACATGATGACATCCGGGATATTGATGCAAGTGATTTAGGTGATGAACTGAAAGCTCTGTCAAGATACATTTCAGCAGGATCAACTCCAAAGTCTGTTCTGGAATATATGTGCACAAATAAGATAACCACCCT